TCTCGATGGCCCTCATGAGGGGCGTGGCTCCGCCCAGGGCCGGGGCATCGATGTTAGCGCCGGCATTCACCAGAAGTTCAATGAGTTCCCGCTGCCCGGCGTACGCCGCATGGTGGAGGGGGGTCCAGAAGAACTGGTCACACACATTCACATCAGCCCTGTCACGAACAGTGATGTCAGAGTTTAAGGCGTATATTTGATTTAGGCCCATTCATTGGCTCGGACCAGCAGCCACCAGAAAACACCAGAAAACTCCGTTTGCTTCTGTGAGCTTTGTGATACACACAGAAAAAACACGTGAACTTTCTCACCCCTTGCTGAGGAGGTACTGAGCCATCTCGTAGCTGCCAGTGGAGCACGCCACCATCAGCGGCGTCTTGTAAAACTCGTCCTGAACATCCACCGGCACCCCTTCACTGAAGGCCTGGTCCAGAGACTCCAGATCATTGGTTCTCACGCAGGCGTTCACGTTGACGTAGACCGGCGGTGGCTTGTGTATGTACCATCCTGAGTCGTTCATCACCGGATGCACTGGCGGGTGAGCCCGGTCGAATCGGAGGACGTCCGAGGAGTTAAAGTATGAGCGGATCATGAAGCCGGGTGGGCCTCCGTCTGCTCGGCGGGGCTTCAGCTCCGGTGGGAGGGTGCAAATGGGCATGGGGAGAACAAACGGACCCTTCTTCTTCTTCTTGCCCCCTTTTTTTCCCTTTCCCCCCTTTTTCTTCTTGGGCATATACGAGGAGAGGCGGAACGGCTTCTTGATGTACTTGACTCCTCTGATGAAGTCGCTGATGTTGACGTCTCCTCCGTGGGCTGAGATGACTGCTTGGACCTGGTCTGGTTCAACTGGAGCTTGTAGCTCCTCTAACACAGAGATAAACCTCTCTGCAGTAACTGTGTCTGATTTGTCGCCAAAGGCTTTCCACAGCTCAGCTTCATACTCTTGAGACCAGTCGTGGAGAGTCAGCGCCCAGAGCTCTGACATCTGCCCAGTGCCGCTGGGATCGCCGCCTTTTCCCTGCTTCCTCTCCGCCTTCCGGAGCTCCTTGGCTACTGCGTTGTGACCGGAATCTTTGGCGATTTGATGCGGCAGCACACCTTCCCGGTTCTTCAGTTTAGGGTTACAACCTGACCACAGAGCAGAGTTTATATAAACACACGGCAGAACGGCCTAACTCAGGACTGCAGCTGTTTGCTGGATCTACAAGCATCATACCAGAGATATGCAAACATGGAGGGGAGAACACGGATCCTCCAACCTGTTATAAAAATACTGAGCAGAAGGATTTGAAATTTGACCCAGAACCCCGTCTAAGCAGTGAGGAGACGTCAACATGGGACAAATCTACTGTCTGACATCCTGATAACAGCGAATCACACAAGTCCAGCCTAGAAGTCACAAATGCATGAATGTGGGATGTTTCCAATATAAGAGAGGGTTTAATGTGCGCGTTGAAGGACAGAAATGTCTCCAAGAAACATGATGGGACAGATTTGTCCCCAGCTGGGCAGCAAATAGTCCAAAAAGACCTCTGATCACACAGGAAGCTGACGACGTGCACACTGAAACCAACACACAATGACAGGTGTGGTGAGCAGCAGTCGTGCACAAGCTGGTAATTATGGACAATACGTCCACGTGTGAACATGAAAAAAGCAGGGGGACTGTCATTACGTTAATCTCTGAAACGACTGCGTTTGATCATAAAACGAGAGTTTGATCCACATTTACAGCAGCTGGGAAACCCCCGTGTGTCCGCTGTGATCAAACGAGACGTGCTCGTATATCGCCTCAACAAAAATGTGCTCGACTCTTCCAGCGTCCACGCACGTGTAAATGAAATGACATTTCAACATTTTGGCAGTAACATAGCGCTGGCCGTGGAGCGTGCTCCTTTACGTTTCCATGTATACGAACACTACCGTTCTTCTACAAATGGAGGGAAACATCATCGTCTAACTAACAGGGTACCATAGAGCAGTTTTTGGAACGAACTGAAATTCCCATATTCCAAACAGAGTCCTGTTCCCCTCTTTTAAACTTGAAGATATTCAGTGTGATCATCACTTTCACAGGCCATGCATATGAATCATTACACAGTTCGGGTATACAATACTTACGGAGCAATACCTCAAAAATGATCAACAATCATGTGACAGCCTCATAAACACGCACTCACAGAGGCCACGCCTACAGAAGGTACGGCAGGTGCTGAGAAGACAGCAATAAGACCTGAGCCAGTACAGACGCACGGCCTTCATCACGGCCACGTAAGTGTCATAGATGCTATGACACGGTTGGGTGGGACCCTGGGTACGCAGTCCAGCACCTTTGAGCTCTACGAGCAGCGACAAGACAAAAAGAGAGAGGGAGGGGATCAGAGCGACAAGCCAGAGTGACACAAGAAGCAACCATGAATGGCCCCCACCCCCACCCACAAGATGAGCTGCTACAACAGTGCCTTAGGTCAGCGGTGCCCAAACCCCGGGCTTCGGACCGGTACCGGTCCGTGAGTCGTTTGGTACCGGGCCGCGAGAGTTGAGGCTCAGGTGTGAAATGTATAGTTTTCAGGGTTTTTATCGGTTTTCAGTGTTATTTTGTTATCGTTGTTATCGTTTACTCGGTTTTCCTGGGTCTTTTCACGTGTGTTATGAATAAATCGTATTTTTTTCGGTTTTATTTTTTTTATTTTGTTGTATTTATCCGCGACACCTTAAAGGCCGGTCCATGAAAATATTGTCGGGCATAAACCGGTCCGTGGCGCAAAAAAGGTTGGAGACCGCTGGTAGCTGAGGAGCTAACAGGAGAAACAGGAGGACAAAGCCCCCGTGGGGCTAGATAGAGGAGGTGGCTGACATCAATAAATCCTACCAGAGGTTAGAAAAGCTCGGCCTAAAGGACTCCACAGAGTCATGGCGGCACAGACAGCTGCTGACGACCAACCACACAGAGCTGTGACCGATAAAGAGCACGAGGCTGCAGACGTGACAAAGCTTACTGTAATATTGGGAAGAACAGCTGGAGATGTGAAAGGTCAAGTCTCAGTCTGAGGAATGACCGAGGCGCTCGAGCAAAGCACACGTCATGTTTATATGAGGCTGCGAGGCTGAGACACGTTTACCTCGCTCAACAGGAAATATTACGATGAGCCCTTTTTACTATTCAGTTTGTTTCCCTGTTTGTCAAAGACCGACACACACACACTTCAACACACATTTAAGACTCGGAGCCGAGCTCCTCTGTGACACCACACAGACCCCGCGCTGTGACCAGCTTTCTGCTGATGTACCGTTTGAGTAACAGCTGCTGTGTTCTCCTGCGTTTCAGCCTACAAGTGACATGATATCAGACTGAAATGACTGAATGTGATGTTGATATGAGCTTTAAACGTCTGCACAGTCGGCTCCTTCTAAGGCATCAGCAGGAGCGACAGGCCTCATCACAGAAGAATAAAGAGTACAGTACCTCTCTGTGCCAGGAACTTGCAGCAGTTTGCGTTGCCCGAGGCAGCCGCGTAGTGTAAGGCTGTGCAGTCCTTAAGGCTCATCGCACTCATGTCTGCTGAGTATGCCGACAGCAGCTGAAGCACCTGAACACAGCCCAGAGAAACACGTTAGCAGCGGCTCGCTGTCATTTTAATTCAGCTTTCAGTAAGTAGAATAAGTCCTGATACAGCTTAACTTTGCGTGTTATTGGCATTTCAACAGATGTCAGCTGTTATATATGAGCAGCTACTGCACCTCAAAAAAGCCTCCCATGGCAGCGCAGTGGACGGCGGTGAGCCGCTTTCTGTCAAAGGCGTTGGGGTCTCCGCCCATCCTGATTATAGCTCTAACGAGCGGCAGGGACCCTGCTTTGACCGCCTCCATCAACGCTGTGACTCCAGTTTTCTGAACAGAGGGGAAGAGAGGAGAGGACGGGCTTCAGCTCCAACAGGCTTCAAAACAAGTGGTCACAGTCGCTGTTGTTTACCTGGTGCGCTGCGTTGGGGTCTGCCCCGGCATTCAGCATAATGAGGCACAGGGGGGTGCACTCCTGGGCCTTTTCACACATCAGCTGAAAGACATGCATCCCCTGCACTGACACGCTGTTGGCGTCGGCACCGCACTTAAGCAACACCTGCAGGCAGCGGCAGTGGCGTTTGGTGGGGTAGATGCAGTAGAACAGCACGTCTGAGTCACAGCGTGGGCGCAAAAGTTTAGGAAAAGCTCGTGAGACAGAAGAAGCAAGGAAGGGTCAATAAATCTGTACATCAGTGTAATCAGACTACTTTGAGGCAGCGATGGCTTGATAGCTAAGCACAAGACCTAAATGCTGTTTCCTCCGTCGAATTCAGTGTTTGCAGTCGCAGCTATCAGCGAGCTCACTCTGCCAAGTCAAATCCAGCAGCTTCATTTCTACTGCAAAATTAAACGCGAGGAAAGTTTCGGGAAGCTTTGCTCCCACGCTTCCAGCACCGAGCACAGCTGCTACCTGCTGCTGGATTAAACTGCTGTAAAAGGACGGAGGGCAGGATGCTGAGTTTCACTTTCCCCACTCTGATTATTCCCACTCCATATTCCTGACACGATGGATAACACCAACAGGTGTGTGTGACTACTGAAGCTCAGCCTGCTGTGAGCACTGAGGCCAGGCTGAACAAAACCCCAGGGAGAGCTGGGTCGTATCAAGTTGCTCGGCGTGTTTCACAGGAGACGATCGTTAGGACTTGATCTGTAATTAGACGTGTCCATGTGGCATGACACACACAAAACCCTCGTATGGCTCTTCACACATGCGTACATACATCATACAGCATGTAAATTATGCACACGTCAGGAAGTATTCAATCACCCAGCCTTGATCCACCTCTCAAAGGAGCCAGTTAGAGTAATTGCTACCACAGACTGTAATGGGGTCATTATCACGACTGCTTCAACGAGCTCCTTCAGAAGACCTTTGTGCGCTCTGATTGGAGTTGTCTGGGATACCACCTCCTCATCAATATCTAAAGAGACA